TGAAATAGCCAAGGCCTCCAAGGTCGACATCGGCGTACAAAAACTTCACTTGAGCAGTGGCAGCATCAAACCCTTGAACAAACTTCTTTAGAGAATCCATTTTCGCCGCTTGAAGGTCGTTCTGAAGTTTCTCTACTTCAAGCTTCATCAAGGACAAATCTTTCTCAAGGGCATTAGCGGCATCGGCCGACTTGTCCCTTGCCAGGCGTGTCTCGGTCAGCTCACTCTCCAGTGCAACCTTCTCGGCTGCCAAAGCTTGCTTCTCATCCTCGAAGACGCGACGCCCTTCCAGCAACTTATCCCGCTCATTAACCACCCATTTAAAATCCGCCTTACTTTTGTTCAAAGTTTCCTCCAAAGAGGATATCTTCTTTCCCTGCAATTTGTTCTCTCTCACTAGCCCACGAATTTTGTCTTCGTTGATGAGTGAAAGGGCAGAAAGGCGGTTCGTCGGCGATTCAACGCCCTTGGCGATGGAGAAAACGCTCATCTTCTCCAAGTCATCTCGGTCCCCCTCCAGCAGGTCGGTACCACGTATGTGAGCGCTGTGGTTAAACTTCTCGTCCCAAAAAGAAGATCAATGTCTTCTGACTAGACCCCCCACTCGTCTAATATCCGACTGGTCTTCAAGGCCACAAGCCCTCTCGCCTTATCGGCTCAGGGCTGGAAGGCAAGTGTACCTTCCCGGTAAAATGCCGACTGGGCCCTCCCCAACTCGTCTAATATCTGACTGGTCTTCCAGGCCACAAGCCCTCTCGCCTTATCGGCTCAGGGCTGGAAGACAAGTGTACCTTCCCGGTAAAATGCCGACTGGACCCTCCCCAACTCGTCTAATATCCGACTGGTTTCCCATGCCACAAGCCCTCTCGCCTTATCGGCTCAGGGCTGGAAGGCAAGTGTACCTTCCCGGTAAAATGCCGACTGGACCCTCCCCCACTCGTCTAATATCCGACTGGATCGTCACAGCGTACATCAACCCGACTCTGGCTCAATTACACGCACCAGTGAGGGGCACTCGTCTTTCTCCCGACAGGTCCCTTAGTACGGGCCTTGCCGGTAAAATCCCGACTTGACTAACCACCACTCACCCCCAGGGCTTCGAGATAAGAATGGTTGAGGGGGATCCCGATAATCGCGGGGCCCACGAAGCCCATAACACAAAAGTATAAAACCCAAAACCCTAGGGCTAGGACGACAGATTACACTTTTGAATGCTCTGACTTTGAGGCTTGACCTAGGCAGAAACCCTAGTGCACCTCGTGGCCGGAACAAGAATATTACAAAGCGCAAAAATATTTTAATGAAGAAAGAAAGTGAATAGAGAATTGTATGCAATTTTGAGGAAGAGTGAAGGTTATTGATTTGTGTAGTTAGGATAAATTTTAATAGGTTTCATGGTAGGTGTCAAAATGTTCCGATTTAAAAAATACATTAGAGATAACTTAGTTATTTGTCCAAAGGCAAAATATTCAAAAATATATTTTTCCCATCTTTGTCTTGGGATGGAGACTTTATACCCAACTATTATGTCTTTTTAGGTCTCCAAATTCATGAAATTTTGTGAGAATTTTGTCCTATTATTGAATAACGTATTTTGACACCTAATTATGATTATTAATGATTAAATTTAGTATGTGCTTTGAGTCCTTAGTTAAAAAATTGATGAGTTATTACAAAAAATAGTTTTTTATAAAAACTTATTGGATAACGTATATTAGTTTCATACTGAAATAATCTACTTACCTATTAACTTATAACATGAAATGTGTAGAAACTAAATCAAACAATATTTTTAATAGCATATCTGAATTACACGTCTAGATAGTCCAATAATAATTATATATCTAACGAAATTATTAAAAGTGAAAAACTAATTATTTTATAAGTACTTCCCAAACATTAGAAAAAAATGTTGGCCAATATGTAAACAAGCTTGAATATTTAAAAACATGTGAACTCAATCTGTTAAATAATTAATTAAGTCCGTTTATTTAAATAAATAATTTAGTTTTGACTTAATTATAAGCTCAATCATATTATGAATAATTAAGCCCAGACTTACCTTGATATACATGTCATAGCGATGTCAACTACTAAACTTATGATAAGACGGGTTGATCGATCAATTTGGGGTATTTTTTAAAATTATTTACGTAAATAGAGTTGTTTTGAAACTATTTGGGCTTTTTACTATAGTGACACCAGTGACACGTGTACATTTTAAATTCTAAGAAGTCATGAACGCCATATTATCAATGTCGCTACAGCTCATGACGACACAAAATGACTTTAATGAAGTCGCTATAGACTACAGCACCACCATTTAAATAATTTTTTAACAAAAATAACAAAAACAAAAAAAAACTAAAAATATTTATAATATACATGTAATAAAAATAAAATTTCATTAAAATTAAAATTTCACAGAAGTATATAACAAATTAAGAAAATAAGTAAATAATTAAAAAAAAAATAGAAGTCGCTATAGCTTATAACGATTTTTACCGACTAAATTTTAGCCGTTCGTAGTTACCAAAAAAAAAAAAAAAGCACACATGTCGCTAGTGTCGCTATAGGCCATAGCGACACCATAGTAAAATGCTCAAAGATGTAAATAATTTCAAAACAGTCTTATTTACGCAAATAATTTTAAAAAGTACCCAAAATTAATCAATAAACGGATAAGACGATACCCATAAAATAACAACATGTCGTTTAGGCTATTTGCTGGCAACGTAGATGCAGTAGTAGTACGGTACTGAGCAAGAAACGTCAATTACACTGTTGTCGTTATCACTATCGCCCAACACCGTAGCGGGAATTGGGCCATTGGGTTGGTTGTGGGCTCATTTGTAACCCCTTGATTCCTTTTCTGTGCTGAGTGGGCCTTTTCTTTGATTGACGAGTTACACATCCCCTTTTACTTCCACGCGACACCAAGTAGCATGTGCATGACCGTGTTTTTTCTTATGCTCCTTTTCATGGGGAAAATTTCTTGATGGATAACACACATGAATAAAGAATAACAGGCTTTCAGGGACAATAGTGAAAGGAGAAATTTCAGAATGATTCCGTAGTAGAAGGCTAGAAGCAAGCAGAAATTGAAATAAATTTTAGGAAGTTTTTTTTATTGATTAAAATTCATGGATGTTACATTTGGTTGAGTCAATTTGCTTAAAACCAATTATAAAAATCTTATTGGTTTGTGTAATAGTTTTTAGTCTGGAAGGAATTTATTCAAATTTCATGACGATAATTGATAAGGTAATTAACAATTGGTTCCAACCTAAAAAAATAAAATTTTGAATTCAAATATTATTTATGAAAAAATGTGATTAGAAAAGTAGATTTTGTTAGGTTTTTTAGCAAAAATTAATCACATCAGTAATTATTTTATATCAATAACATATTATTAATTAACTAACAAGGTAATGCAAAAATAAAAATATAATAATTTAAAAAAATTGCAGTTACGAGAATTAGACTCGCGATAAAATCACCGACAGTCTCTCTTTGAAGTGAAGATTATTATTTGCACCCAACCCCATCTTAGATCATGCCTACTTATTCTAGTATAAAAATAATAATTAGAAGCCCATCACCCGTGTTTAACTGTATTTATTAAAAAGTTGGAAATAATATAATGAAAAAGTATATAAATAACATTATTGTTGACATTCGGAAAAATATTTAAAGCATTTTTTAAGTAAATAGATATATGTCAATTTTAAATTCATTTATTTTGAATTCATTAAACTTTAATAAACTATAGGAAGTGTAATTGCTTCACAATGATAAAGTCACTAAAATGTGATTTATTATTTAACTTTTACTTCAATTAATTAAGTATGATCATTATTATTCTTAGATTAAATAATATACACCGATAATGTAAAGATTTATTATATTTTTATTCAATCATAAATTTTATAACATAATAAATTTAATAATTTTTGTAATAATTATTCTAAAAAATTATATCAATAATAATTTTTAATTAATTAATAATATATATATTTATACTAATTACTTTAAAATAAACATTTTCTTTTATTAGTTAAGATCTAATGCAAGTTGAAGAAGTTTAACAGACTATTTGGTATATTGTTTTTTTTTTCCAATGAGAAAGACAAAAACAGCAAAGGAAAGAAAAATTAGCTGCTCCTAAGAAACAAAGATGGCAAATATACCCCCAAAATGCGGGTAAAATATTGAACTTGTCCCAATTTTGACGGGAATACCCGGTTTAACCGGGTACAGGTACATGTACGAGTAAAACTCGATATATTAAATCAAGTACGGGTACGAGTATGTACTTACCTGCCCTGTACCCATATCCGTACCGTCTCTGTTTCTATTTTTAATTTAATATCCACTTTAAATTTAATTATATTAAATAATTTTAATATTTTTTTTATGTGTGATTATTTATTATAATATAAAATAGAGAAATAACCTAATTATAATTATAATATAATAAAAATTAATTTAAAAATATCATATTTATTTTACAAAAAATAAAAAATAAAAAATTTGACGGGTACGGATACGGGTATACCCAATACCTGACGGGGACAGGATGTGAATAAAAATCATATATCTGACAGGTACGGCTACGAGAACGAGGATAAGTTTAACTCGCAAGGACAAAGACGGGTATCATAAAACCCGTATCCGACCCTCTCCGTTGCCATCCCTGTATACAAAGTTCCCATAACATTTGTATGGAATAAAAAAAACGGAAATAATTACATTGGATACTAAAAAAAAAAAAAAATCAAAACTACGTATGGAGAACTGACTCCTATTTTTATAATGCAAACGGTAAAGAATTATAAAGGAGACTGGAGAAATACACGAAAAATAAAAAATAGAATTGATTAATTATTTAAAAATAATAACAAGAATGGATGAAAATTGCATCGTGATCGATGATGAAGTGGTTGATAATTGAATATCAACCTTTTTTATTCATAGAACTAGTTAGCATCTTTGTCTTTTTTGCGTATTTATTTTCTTTGTACGGGACAAGTCACAAGTGTGTATGCTATTTTCATTTTTATTTTCCCAAAAGGTTCAAACTTTGGCTGCAATGTAGGCATCTTAGTAGGGAAACTCATGAACATTGCAGAACGTTAGGTGTCTTCCTCAGCACTATTCAAAGAGGTCCCATTCCAATATAAGATCAGAGTGTGTGGTTTTGTTCACTGTTTTTCAAAAAAAAACATTGAAGATGGGTTGGCTTTTTCCTCTTTTCCTTCTTTGTTCGCTTGGTCTTACTGGTAAGAGAATAACACCTTCAAGCTCTCAACTTTGCTATTACTCTTCTTGCCTTTGAATGTTTTGCAATGTGGGTTGTTTCTCAGTCTTATGGAAACCCTTTGTGTTGTGGTTTGCATTTGCAGTTGCTGGTCAAGAATCCATTGAGTTCCTCAACCTTTGTGAGACAAAAAATGACATTTTACTAGCCTCATCTGAACTTCCCTTGGCTGTTTCAGTGAGTGATGAAAACCTCAATGAGGTTTCTGTCAGCGTTTTATTGGCTGAAAAATGGCTCAGGCACAACGTTCTTGCACACTACCCTTTGGCCAAAATCACCACCATTGTTGTGGAAACCGCTGCTTTCTGCCAACAAGAGCAACAACACAACCTCTCTGTGGTTCTATCATCTTTAAAGAATGTCTACCACTCACTCAAGAGGTGGGGTTTAGAGAAAGACATAAAAGTTTCTGTTGCTTTTAATTTGGACTGTTTTGGTCCAAACTCAGTTTCTCAGGACAATGATTTGAAAATGGTCAAACCGTTGGTAGAGTTCCTCCAAGAGGTAAATTCCACATATTCTGTGATCCCACATTATAGCTTTTCGCATTTGTCTGATAAAAGTTTGAGCTTGGTGTCATCTTCCATGAAAAAGCTTGGATTTTTTCATCTCAACAACATGAATGTCATAGCCATTGTTCCAAGAGGGAGAAAAACCATAGCAAGAAAGCTTTCAGTTGTGGATTTCAGCCCAATAGGCCCATTACCTGTGAGGCCAGCTCCAATGCCAGAAATAGCCAAGTCTCCAATGGTTCCTTCCAATGCACCAATGCCTCCTTTAGCACAAGTAGTTTCTTCACCACCTCCAATGTCTTCTTCCACTTTTGCCCCTGAAGAACCACCCTTTGTTGTTCCTGCTAGTTCCCCTCATGGTTCCACTCTTCCTCCTTGTAATCCACTACACAATGGCGCACCTTATCCACAAATATTCCCGGTCCAGAAACTGTGGTGTGTGGCTAAGCCTAGTGTTCCTGAAGAGACACTGCAAGAGGCTATGGACTATGCTTGTGGAGAGGGTGGTGCTGATTGCATGGAGATTACTCCGCAGGGAAACTGTTACTATCCAGACACTGTGGTTGCTCATGCTTCATATGCTTTCAACAGTTACTGGCAGAAGCATAAGAGAAGTGGTGGAACATGCAGCTTTGGAGGGACTGCCATGTTGATCAATGCTGACCCAAGTAAGCATAAATTAAGCATGCACTCTCCATCTTATCTTGTTTTATCATATATGTTCTAGATGGAACTTGCTTGGTGCTGCTGTTGTTTCCTTTTTCTTTTATCTTGTTGCCTTTTGTTAATAGAGATTGGTTTTGGTTTGCACTTTGCAGGTTTCCTTCACTGTCGGTTTATTCTTAGCTAAGTGTGAAAATAAAAGTGGAGCTGGTGACTTTCTTTCTTCATTTTTTTTTTTTTGGCAGTTAGTGTGGAGGATTTTATGTTAAGGTGACTTCGTCTTTGAATCACTAGCAATTGGTTTATGTATAATGTGTGGACCAACTTCTATTTTGGGATCATGGCCTAACTTGAATGCTTTCAGGCTTAATTGTTATATTGTTTATGATATATAGGTACAAGTAGTAACTAATTTGTAGTTCTGTTCTTAATTACTTGCTGATTGATGCCTATTTGCCTACACAGAGTTCGTTTATTTGCTATCTTCAATTTTCTACTAGAATCATCTTGTGTTTTATCTGTAAGAATAAGAAAACAGCTTTTTTTTTTTTCTTGTGTTACGTTGAATTATTTTATGTCATCCATACTTTTGATAATTTAAAAGGTGCTTAACCAAAAATTTGAGTGGGGCATCAGGGAGATGGTTGTAAAAAACATAAAATTCTGTTCAGATTTTATGATGGGATTCCTCATTCAAGGATAGGAACACCCTTTTTTTTAGTGTGGGTGCGGGCAAAATGTGTCACCTTATGGTATGTAGCCAGTACATACACAAACTGATGATTTTTTTTTCCTTGCATAATGATTGGATAGAATTATAACGTTGAGGAGTTTGATGAGTTTTTTTTATTGCGAATAAAAGGGGCCTAAACCCAATTTTGGTGAGTTTTTGTCACAAGATACAAGGAATGTTTGGATTTTCTTGTGTGACGTTTCTAATGTTTTCAATTTGTCGTTTCAAATCCCGTCATTTCTTGTGTAGATTTTCTTATGTTGGGTTTCTGAGATAAGTTTTTTTGATAAAATGTTTTTCGTTTTCTGATAAATGTTTTTCTTTCCTGAAAATCGAAGCCTGGACTTTGCTTGAATCTTCTGGCACACAAACAAAAATTAAGGGCGCTAGCATTGGAATGACATTGAGTATTTGGATTGAATTGCAATGTTTTTAAGTTGGAAACTATTCTGCTTATAAAAGTATTAAAAAAAATGCAAACTATTCTATCAAAGCCATATGTTAGAATCATGTGAGTTTTATACTATGATTTATTCATAGCACTGCTATGGAGCTATGTAAATAAACGAATAAACATTTAAATTAGTTTGACATTATATTAGTAGAACGTATTAGTTCTTAATATAAAAACTTGTAGTCTTTGATTTTGTCAAAAGCTATTCATTATAGTATTTATTGTTGTTGTGGCAACGTGAAGAATTATTCCCTCAACTTTCTCGATTTCATGGTCCACCTGCTGCAGCTTTTACCGTTTGTTTTATTTTTTCGTTTTTTTATTTTTTTCTGAAAGGTGAAACAAAATTTAAGAAAATGCTTGCCTTAAAAGAGGTTTGTGGGGTCAGTTGCATGGTTGAAAGACTTGGAAAAAAAAGCAAGAAAAAGGAGCAACGGTTAGCCACAGTGTAGTGGTCTTACATATTCATAATCAAAGTTGTGATGAACTCGGCAAAAGAAAGGTAGGCACCTGAAGTGCTATACTATTTTTGTCTACTTCCATAACGACCCTATTCAACGGAATAATATGATCAAAGCCAGTGGCCGAAAGAAAATGGGATTGAAAAACAAAAGACAGCAAAAGTGTAATCACTAGACAGTAGACACTAATTTTCGGCCTTGCCCTTGGTAGCTTTAGCTCCTAATTAATGGAATTTCTATCTGAAGGAAGGCTCGTGCATAAATCATACATGCAAAAAACGGAGCAATAGGGCTAGGGTGGGCCTTTTAATAGCTTCTGGGCCAGATCTTGCAATTTAAAAGTTAGTAAACTATGCGCCTGTCTGACTCGCCCATAAATACATTTGGGCTTTTCATAATATTACATATCAATAATTTATAAATACATTTTACAGTTTTTTTTAAATACTTTCTATTTTATGCTAATTCGTAATGTAGGAGATAAAATTGAGGTATAATTTTACTACTTTTATAACTAGGATGGTTTGATTTAAAACACAATTTATGTCATAATAATTAATTAATATAATAAAAAATAATTATGTATTTAATAATTTAATGGGTTTAAGTGTATTTTTTATATTTTTAAGTTAATTATTGTTATTTTTAATTTATAATAAAAAATTTATTTTAGATAATTTATTGATCTTACTTCTTCTCTTTTTTTTTTAATACATTTATTAATCTTATTATAACTAATGTAAATGGTGTTTAAATCGATTACTTACTAATGTTTTTTGATTTATTAAATAATGTTAATATATATTGTTTCTATTAAAAAATTATTATTTCTAATAGTTTAAATTATTATCATGTAATAATTTTATGAAATTTTATTTAAAACAATTTATTGTAATAATTGATTTGTATAGTGTGATAATTGACTAGTGTTTCATTGTTACTCTACTATTTATCTAAATTAACTCAATGTTGATAAGAAAATATAAAAGAGAAAAATGAACTATAAAACCTACTATATTTGTTCAATTTGTTTGGGTGAAGTTTGTCCAAATTTTCAACTACAATAAAATTGAAAAGAAAACTAGAAAAAGATAAAGTAAAATATATAAATGTTAAGTAATAATGTGCATTACAATATGTCAATAGAATGTGAATATGAATGATGTAAAAAAATAGGTGAATGAAGATGTGATTGGTAAGGTAAATTTGAAAGAGGATGATGATGAAGAAAACTTTGTATATGTTTTTAACAATTACCTAACATCATTAAAGAAATGTAGCTGAAGAACAAAGAAAAGAAGTGAAAATAAATGAAATTGTCATATCATATAAAAGAAAAAAATTGTTAATAGAAAATATTTTTGACAGCTTAATAGTATTGAATTTTTCATTTAATTATAACATATAAAGCATTGTAATTAATATTAATAATTAATAAAAATAAACATGCAATGCACATTTTAATTGAAAGATTTTCAAATCATCAAAACAAAATGTATAATGACATGATTACCCTGGAAAAGAGCGAGAAAAAAGTATGGACACTATTTTTGATGTTTATATGTTAAAACATATATATTTTTTGCTGAATAACATAAGATATAGAAATAAAAATATAGATTAGCGTCTTTAAATTTATTAAAAGCTAATAATTTAGTTATATGAGACAATACATATTTGTGTCAAAAAGTTTAACAATTATATTTAACAAAATATTGGGACAATACAAAACTTTTATTAGCATATACATATAGATATATATTTTATGAAAGATTATTTATGTGATTAATTGAAATAATTTCACTTATTAATTGTTAATAAATTTGTTTTCAAATTAATAGGAAGCATTTGAATTTTAAAAGTCTAAAAAAGTAGCCTAGACTATGTAATTTTGAGCGAGAAAAAAAAAAGGAGACTATTTTACTTTTAATAATATGATATAATAGATAAGAAGCAAATCTAAATTGTGTAATTTTGAGTAGAAAAAAATTATGAGAAACTATATATTCTACCTTTAATAATATATAGATAGATATCAATTTTATGAAAGATTATTTATGTGCTTAACTTGCATGATTTATTTATTATTTGCCAATAAAATTTTATTTAATATAAATAGGAAGCTTTTAAATTTTAAAAGTCATATTTTTTTTTTGAAAAAGTGGGTCCAAATTATATAATTTTGAGAAAAAAATATATCTAAGAGACTATTCTACCTTTAATAATATATAGATTAAGCAAGTAAAAAGTCTTTCAAAAAGTTTTGGATAAATACTCTTTTAATCTCTATAATTTCATTTACTTTGTTTTTTAAGCCTTAAACTTTAAAATAAAACCTTTTTAGTTCATATATTTACATTTTTTAATCCTCTTTAGTCTTAAGTATTAGTTTGTTTGTAACGCAGTTAAGTGTGAGTGGCATGAACTTATTAAAGTTATGTGATAATGACATATTTAATTCTGTGGATGGTAATGTGTCATTTAAATTTTTAAAAAAGAAGAAATGAAGAGTCTTTAATAATAAGGTTTCATCCTTTTCTTGTTTCGTCAAAGATGGGTTTGTGAAGCAAACAGAAAAAAAAAAAAAAAAAAACTTTATTATTCTCTTTTTGCGGTGGGACGCGATGGGCCAGGTTCTTATGCATGGAAGTGTGATGTTGTCGATGTCTCATGGAAACGTGCTATTGCCATTATCTTGTGGAAGCGTGCTACTGTGAGCTACATTTGTGAAGGTAGGTGGTTTTATTCAATCTTTATATTCTATTATCTTCTTTGAATTCACAATAGCAATATGGTGTTAATTTTTTACCAAGTTAAATTCATGTGGAACCAAGGATGTGTCTGTATATTTTATTATTGATGTATTTTATGGAGGTCATATGGTAAAGACACGTTAGAGTGTAGCATGATGACTGATGAAAGAATAATGAAAATTTCTACAGAGACAATGAGTATTATTCAAAAACATCTTTAAGTATATAGTGTGCATTCATCACAAGGGAGTTATATATACTATCGGAGATGATGGGATTAATGATAATATTGTCATAAGGGTTGAAAAATGAAGATGGAAGATGATATTGCGACTAAAATTTAAGATTCAGAGAATAATAAAAATAAAAGTGCACGGATATAATTTACTTAATAATAAAAATGGAGTTAGAGACATAATTATTGAAGAGAAAATGAAAAATCAAGGAAGTCAAATAACGACTAGAGAGAGATAAAATAGCAAAGAAATGTGTGGAGAGAAGGATGTTTAAGGACTTTTTATAAAAAAGAAAAGGTGTATTTATTAATAAGATAGTGTATTTAACTATTTATAAATGTATTTGTTATCGTACCCATCAGCCATAAAGAAAAAAAACAAAAAAAAATTAGCCATCCATTACACTTAGCTCCAAATAAAAAATCTTAAAGAAAGTCCAATACCCAAAGAAGAAAATGAAGGCAACACGAATTGGTCGACAAGATTATAGGCCAGATGTAATGTTTACAGTCTGAAGATGTTTTTTATGAATGACTTTTTGTCAACAAAATTGAGCTTCGAAATCCACAGAAATAGACAGGCCAAGCCCAAATTACTAGCAATACTATGAAAAGTGAAAGACTCGTGTTACACACTTTCTTACATTAATAATTGCAATTTTATTATATTTTTTTAAAAATATCTTTAATATTTTTATTTATTTTTTTATTTCTACCTTTACAAACTCCTTATTCTTTTTAATGATTACCAATTTTTTTTATGTACAGATTCTTTTCAAACTCACGTCTTTCCTATCCTCTTGTCAACAATGTTCAATTTTTTT